GACGGGCAGCCTGGAAACGTTCGATGAATTGTGGACCTCCTTAACTGTAATGAGATAAATCTGAAGTTCACTAAAGAGGTGGGTAAACCTTCTCTCAATATCCTGGACCTCACAATCTCAGTAGATGAAAATAATCATCTTTAAACTACATTGTTTAGGAAACCTACGGCCACAAATAGCTTTTTGGAATGGGAGAGTTACCACCCTAAACCCCTTAAAAAGGGTATACCAATAGGACAGTATCTTAGAGTATGCAGGAACTGATCAACATTAGAGGATTTCAAGTTAAAAGTGAAAGAACTCTATAGACACTTCAAAGAACGAGGATATCCCAATCGATGTCTAAAAATAGCATACAAAAGAGCTTTGGACATGGATAGGGAGGTCATGTTAAAAAATGTCCAGAAAAATTAAGAAAACCTGCAGATTAGATGCATTGCTGATTTCGATCTGGGGTGGGAACCGGCAAAATCTGTTCTGAATCAATTTTGGCCCATACTCACACAAGATACACATCTGCATCACTAACAGCCAGGAGGGGCAAAAACCTACGTGACCTCTTGGTACCCAGCCACCTATATATAAATATTAAAGAGAACATGACATTATAAATATTTATATAAATAAGAGCTTTTATGCAGCATAATGTTCTTTTTAAATATGTATAATTTCCCCACTCTTTAGGGCTCAAACATGTACAGTACTTCCTTCTACAGAGAGGTTTATACTTATACCAACATAGTGATTTTGTCATTGAGCTATTACATTTTGTTTTAACTCATAACTTTTTTCTATTTAACGGTACATACTACCACCAGGTGCAGGGTACGGCGATGGGGACGTCTTGTGCGCCCTCATATGCCAACCTGCACCTAGGGTGGTGGGAAGAAAAAATCGTGTTCACAGCCTGTTCCAACCAATTCACCCGATATATCCTCTCTTGGAAGAGGTATATCGATGATATTATGATTGTGTGGCAAGGCACCATAGAAGAGTTTACTTTGTTTGTACAGATACTGAATGACAATACCCTTAATTTGAGATTTACAGCAGAAATGGGTGTACCTAATCTGAATTTCTTGGATCTTACTTTGATTCCAAATACAAAGGGTGAAATTAAAACTGACCTCTTCAGAAAAAGTACAGCTACCAATAGCCTACTTAATTGGAGAAGTCACCACCCTATTCCTCTCAAAAGAGGCATACCAATTGGACAGTACTTGCACCTGAGGTGCAACTGTACTGATATCCAAAATTTTAGAGCTAGAGAACTACGTGCAATGTTTAGGGCCAAAGGATACCCACACAAGTGTTTAAAACGGGCTTACCATCATGCCCTATTGATCGATCGGGAGGACCTTCTAAAGGATGTATCGTCACTTTCAAGTTATAACACTTCGGATTCGAAACATTTGAGAGTCATTGCTACATATGACGCAGGCTGGGAACAAGTTAAATCCATTTTAAATAGATACTGGCCTTTACTCAAACAAGACGAACACCTTAAAGAGGTCCTTCCCCCAAATGTGGCCCTAATAGTACGAAGGGGTAGGAATATCAAGGATGCCCTTGTACATAGCCATTTTAAACAGTCCAAATCGACCATGACCCATTGGCTATCTAATAAACTTCTAGAGACTTACAAATGTGGCCGATGTAGAGCCTGTAACTTTATCTGTAAGGACTCCAAAAGTTTTCATAACAGTACTCAATCTGATACATTTCATCCAAATTCTTTTTTCAACAATAACTCTAAAGGCCTTGTCTACTTGATAAAATGTCAATGCAACAAACTATATGTGGGCGAGACCTTTAGGCCTTTCAAAAGACGGATTTTGGAACACATCAATTCCATTAAGACCAACAGACATATTGAAACTACAGTATCCAGACATGTCAAGAATTGTCATCACAGTACTCCAATTCTTGGGTATAGAATTGGTCAAACTTGATCAAAGGAAAACGAACTTGGACAAACTCCTTAGGAGGATAGAGTGTTTTTGGATCTACCGATTGAACACCCTGTCCTCAGTGGGGTTAAATGAAGGTTTCTCCTACTCTCCCTTTATTAGCGATCTCTGATAAATAAAACATGAACTTGATAGGAACTTTACAATTATCTATGACGTTAAAATGTATTTATCTTTCTCCACTTAAGTTTGATTTTTATTATTGATTTACTATTTATTATTTTTTAACACCTCTAATAGTTAATATTATCTTTGATCTTTAATTGGATGGTCTTTGGTCCTGTTTTTGGCCCCTTTATTGTGCTTTTTAGAGGTCCTTAATTAGATAACCATTCGTAGCATTTATAGCTGGTCATTTACAGCAGCGTTGGGACTTTGTATATATTGTCTTTAGATGATATTTTGATAAGTATCATATATTATACTAGGCTCTCTATATATCTTCATGGATATATGTTTATGCCGATAATCTATATGTTCACAATGACATTCATTGATAGATACAAATCATTTATAGAGATACACACATACATTGTACATACTTATTTTATTTTATTTAGTTTCCACATTGCTCTTCTTGACTCTTTACTTACCTTCTATTTCTTTTATAATCTATTGAACCTCTATATCACTATAATGTATTTGATATACGTATATTTATGAGCTTTGGGCCAATAGCCGGAATATCCTTGGCATCTCTCCCATCCTTCCTTTTCCCCTCCTTTATCTCCGCCTACTATTAATATGCAAGAGGGACTAAGGGAGGAACTTTCCTGACCCACCTGACTTTTGCGTCACACGGCAGTAGTCTGGACATCGTTCCCTCCACTCCCTCCCTCCTCCCTCTAAGTACGATGTGGGATTGGACGCGCTGATAGGCGTCCCCGCCCACCCCTATGGAGGCTCTATCCTCGACATCTATACCACGCCCCCTTCAAACACCTGGCGGGTGTCTATCGGTAAATGGTTCTAACAACGGGATTGGCCACTCAAGGATTTAAAAGTCCATCCTCCCTACGAGGTAATTTCTTGCCCCTGACGAAGGTGCATTAGAAGCACCGAAACGCGTGTCGGGTTCACATCACTAATGGTGGCACTAGCTTTTTCAAGCACTTTATTTTAAACTTGTTCTCAGCACTGAGCTATTCTATTAGAGGGGGGACGGGCAGCAACTATTCCCTTTCCTCTGCTAAGTTTCATTATAGGGACAATATAGAACACCCTTGAAGTTGTTGGTCTGTAGGAGACATAGGGACTACATACTTTTCTGCTCTATCTTCTGCATGGAAAGTATAGAACACCCTTGAAGGTGTTTGTGTTTAGGAGACATAGGGATTACATACTTTTCTGCTCTATCTTCTGCAGGGAAAGTATAGAACACCCTTGAAGGTTTTTGTGTTTGTTTTATCCCTCCCCTTCTCTGTATATGCTGTTCGGCTCTAAGCACTCCTTCCAACTGAGGGGGGTACCTATGCCTTGCTAACTACTATCAGGAGCCAACATAGAATAACCTTTTCAAGGTACTCCAGGATAGGATTTATATAGGGCATTGGTACAATTACTATATACGTATATTCTTTTTCTCTATGCTCCTACTGCCTGTCCAGACGATTATTCTATTTTCACCTCATTCCATTGAGGTTAGATACTACATTTCTATTTCTAGTCCTGTTCCCTCTATAAATATATAGATATTGGATCCATTTTCTCAATTATATAAGGTTTTCTTTGATAGTCCACGTATAGTGCCCCCTTGTTATTTTCCTTTACAGAACTACAATAAAGTCCTTTTTTAATCCATTTATTTTTGTGGCGCTTTCCTGGAATCAATACATAACATATCATATTATAGATTAATGGATCAATTTTTCTTCATATACTCAGTGCTGTTTTACTTCAGTCACATATGTATTAAGTACTCCTATTGTATTTAAAAACCAGCTTTGAGTCACATTCTATTGAAGCTCTATTATTTTCTGTTGCTCTAATGTTCTTTTTAATATTCATATATAATTCTATTTGCTTCTGCCCTCCTTATGAATTTATGTGTGAGGTCTGAATAATAATAACGGACATTTAAGCTATGTAAACATAGCATAGATAGAATCCAGCAACCCTTAACAAGGAGGAACAGGAAGAGCAATGCATCTTGGTACTTGGAGTTCCGAGAAGTACCGGAAGTGACGCGACGGCTAGAGAACGATATGAGGAACTACAAGAGGACTCCTATTGGAGGCCGAAAAAATTTCGGGAAATGAAAAATGAACGCCATAAAACTGCGAAAGAGTACAACGAAGAATATGCCAACTGAGGAAGCCAGAAGTAGAGGCGAAACGCGTCTTGGCAATAGGAGAAAGTTCTGTATATTATATCTATATATATTATTAAAGCCTAACATTTTTGAGTATCTGAGTTATAGCTGACTGATGGAAAGTTTCTCCTTTATCAACTGTGGATCTTTCAAACATCCTTGGAGTTACAGAGATGCTCTTCTCTAGGCTTTTGTGCCATGTAATTTCTATTTTTTAATCATGGAGTTAACAATGCCCAATGTTTCTGACTTGTATTTTAAAAATGACCCTGAGGGTTGACAATTCTGAAGAGTTGTATCCTAGACAAACCATATGCATTTAATTCTGAGATAATGTGACACATACTGATATGTTTTAATATAATATTATTTTTTTTTTTTTTGCTAGGTTAGAAAATAATATTTTGTGGCTTGATTCTGCCTCCCCAGAGCATATGTGGTACACATAAGTATATATGTGTAGATGCAGGAAGTATTAGTGTGTGGTGCATGTCTGTGTTGTAAGAGACTAAATGCATTTTCCTTTGATTTCCTGGTGTCCCTATTCCCTATTTATGTTTCTGCCTAACCCCTAATAACTCAGACGATTCTCCACTCACCCAATTTTCCCACTCCAACCAATTCTCCTTAATCCCTTATTATTTACCATGTCACCCTTCTCTCTTCTAGCTGTCGTACTTTCCCTTGTGTTTCTGTCCAGCTTAACTGTGTCTCCTATCCCCGTTGTCTCTATGTCTCCTTCTGTTCTGTGTTTCCAATTATTTCTCGGTGGAAAACATAGAATGTGGTGAAACACCAAAAAAAGGATAAAATATAACCTTTAATGAAACCTGGTGAAAACTATCCAATGAATGGATATATAAATGTAACACTAAAGTACTCTATAGCTGGAAGAAAATATCAATGAAAAAAAGTAGGGGGGAAGAGTACAGCTAAGCAATAAGCACTCCTGATGATCCCGGTTACAATCGCCGGGTGAAACGCGCGTAGAGTGCGGACTTTAGGTGTTCCTTGAAGATTTGTTAAGCTTTAGATGTATTCGAACTTCTCAACTTAGGACTCCTATTAGGCTTCTTATTTACTTACTTAGCCTTTTTAGCCATTGTCACAACGTTTAGTTGTATTTGTTGGGATATTTGTATCCATCTTGGGTTACTCATGAGGGGAAATGTGTGTCGGCTGTCAAATATGTAGGGATTAGAAATCTATTTTGACTAACTTTATACTAGCACAGGGACCAACCGACACACATACCTCTTTATATGGCCCCAGATACTATAGGATAGTCTATGGACTGCTGACTTATACCACAAACTCACTCTCTGATATATTTATACACCTGCATTTACACTGAGAGAGATTGTCTAGCTTGCAACAACTGACAAGCTTAGGACCATAGGTTCAAACAATATATTGGTTTTCTTATATGTAAACTTGTTTTTATGCTGTCAGTGGCTTTCTAGCCCACTTGATACATTTTTCATATCTTTGAGCTATAGAGAGTCAATATGTGTTTCCATGCATTTTTAGTTTTTGTTGCCTCTTCCTTTACTTTTTGGTATTTCTGTACCAATATCCTTCAGTCATATTTTCCCCCGTTTCAAACTTTGGGAGGAATATGCTGGTACTCAGTCCTTAGGATTTAAATACCCAGGTTTTCCTTTGGAATATCTAATCAGAGTCATAGGATTACATTTTTTTCATTGTCACAGGACGTTATTTTATTGCTTAGCTGTATTCTCCCCCCCTTCTCTTTGTTACTGTTCCAACTTCCAGCTATAGAGTACTTTATTGTTACATTTATATATCCATTCGTTGGAAAGTTTATACCAGGTTTCATTAAAGGTTATATTTTATCCTTTTTTTGGTGTTTCACCACATTCTATGTTTTCCACCAATATCTTCTAGGGCTTAAACCGTTTTTAGGGTAGTGAATCACCTCCCCCATTAGGTATCTACTGTGGTAGACAACATCTGTACCACATTTATCCCATTATTCCTCCTCAAGATTACTCCCTTTACAAGGTTCTTAAGTCTTGCTTGAAGCTCACTGGCTGGTTTGTATGCTGGTTTGGACATATAGATGGATAAGAGACCGTTGCTGCAAATCTGCTCCCCTCCTCATTCAGTGCTGCCTGGGAGTGAAGTATTCTCTTTTTATTTAAAATGTGCTGCTCCCACCTTCACTTAGGAAATGAGCACTCCGAAGCAGCAGCTCCAGGATTGTATATATACAACCCTGGAGCTGCTGCATACAACCCTGGAGCTGCTGCTTTTGAGTGCTCATTTGCTAAGTGAAGGTGGGAGCAACACTATATATATATATATATATATATATATATATATATATATATGTGTGTATATATATATATATATATATATATATAGTCACAGAGGAGGCAAATAGTAGGTAAGGTTTTTTTTGCTGGACAATTAAATCTATTAGCATTGTTGGCCTTTTCCCTAAATGTAACTGTTAAAATGCACCAATGGCTAAAGGCAATGTTTTTTTTTTTACCTTGTACTTACTTTTTATTTGTTAGGCTCTGAGATCTATGCCCTATTGATGGGACTATTAAGTCTCCTGTGGGAGCCAAAACGTTGTATGGTTTTCCAATGCATTCTGCCAAAACCATCTATCTGTGTCCAGTCCAACTTTCTTCATTACTATTGATGGGACTATGTCATACTGCAAATTAGTTAGTTTACATTTCTGTCATGTCTGATAGACAGTGAAAGTCTGTCACATCAGAACAATCTACTTGTTGTATCGGTCTGTTCTTATTGTATTGTCTTTTCCCGAATTGTACAGAATATGTTTGGCGCTTTATAAATACCAGTAATAAATAAATAAATAAATAGGAGGGCTACTAATACTAAATGACTGATTTTGCAGTTTTTATTTTCTCAGTAGGTTTAAAAAATTTAATTCATGTGGATGACATCATGCTGTAAATTACAGGATTTAATCAACAGGGATGACGTGTTTTCCATTAGTTCTGAGATTTGAAACAAATATGCAAGAGTCACAATAATGCGCATCTCATGTATTCGATAAAATAGTGGATGGTGTATAGACAGACACACAGAAAGAGAGATAATTGTTTAGGATTTTTAAACAGGACATCTCATTTAAAATGACCATGAAAAATTTTATTCTTTAAACTAACACACTTCTCACTCATAAAACATTTTCCTTTCATTAATGCTCTCCTGGTTCATGTTTTCTTTTCCTCATATCTTTCTTATCAGCCACACACCTCTTAGTTCCTTCTTTATCGTAATTTATAAGTATCTTGTACAGGATCATAGAAGCCATGGCTAAGTTACCAAAATGATCCTTATGAACTGTGCGTAATCACATACCAACTTTGTTAAGTCATGAAAATTAAAGATTACTTTATACTTACAAAGAAAAACATGCTTTTCTGCAATAAATATTATGCTTAAAATGACAGAAACTGATAATGCTTTCCACTAACATTTAAAGGCTGAAAAGAAAATAAAAGCATTAATTTTGTATTAGACATTCATTTTTTTTTGCACCCAATGATATTTTAATTTATGTAGATATTGGCAATGGATGGTTTACCGCAGAGAAGGTGTAGACAATTGTGCCCATCCTGCAGTTAATGTACTACAACTCCAATGATCTTCCACCAGTATCACATTCAAATTTGGCAGATGATCATGAAAGTTGCAATTTATCATTTGTGAATATATATTCAGGATTCAGAAAGCTTAATTCTCCCATAAACCAAAAGGTTTAATAGAGCTCTACAACCTGTTTAAATGTTTCATAAATAAATAATGTGCTTGTCCATGACATAAGAGAAATTATGTCGGCATTAATAAAGTCAGCCCTTAACTTTCAAAATAAATATGCTTAAAAAAGAATTGAGTATCTTAACTTGGAGAGTTCGTGCACATTTCCTTCGAACTTATTCTAAATCCTACAAGTAATTTAAGACATATCCCTGACTTCTTATTAACCAATTAAATCAACAAATCAAGGAATGCCCCGCCCCTCTCATATTCCTAATAGTACTAGAATAAGTATATGGTTCTTCCAAACCCCAACAAAAATAAAACTGGAGGATGACTTCCTTATATAAAAAAGGCATATAATGGCCAAACGTCCTATAAGTTATAAACACATTTTTAAAAAGATACAATTATGTCAGTTAAGCACAGTGGATGAATGTGAATGAAATACATTAGTGTGGTTTCATTTAAAAATGAATACTTTTCAGGGATATTTTTAATTAGTGAGCTGCAAAACAGACCCACGACATAGCCATAAGACATAACCAAGTATGAAACCTCATATCTTGGAAACTGAGATGAACACATCTGCAATCTGGGTAAACAAAAACTGTGAAATTAAAATGTGGGAGAGATTTCTGCTAATGATAGATGTAGTTCATTACAGAACTGGGTTCTCCATTACGATAACACATCAGGCTGTTAAAGTTCAAGGCGGCAGCAATGCAATTGAGTACATGTATTTATTCAATTGTCTAAGGTAACAGTGTTATCAACGCATTAACCCCTTGCTCAATGTGTATAGGTAACACAAGAAGGCTAAGCATTGATAGGCTGATGTTATTGATCTGTGTGGCCAGTTCTTGGGACAAGTGGGGCCAGTTAGATAAGGTTACTTCAGATTGTTAGGGTATTCCATTATGTTGATGCATTTGACTCTGTCCTTAATGATCATTCAGTAAGAAAGGCCAACCCCCGGAGCGAATAGGGAGGGGGAGCATGACTGCTGTCCTGAGGGGTTGGCATAGCAACCAAATGGATACAGATGGTTTACAATTGGAAGCAGGGAATTCTGTGAAAATTACCAGACTACTGGTGAACAATGTTGAGGGAGCCTGGCAGTGTCTTTCCTCTGGTAGTCCCTGTAAGCACGAGTATTCCTATTGTAGGGAAGCAAACCCAGCAGTGCATTGTTTCAAGCTGGATCAGTCCCTCCCAAGAACTTCATCCAAGAATGACGTTCCTCAGAGCGAGGACCCTAGTGAAGGCAGAAAGGCTGCTCACATGGCTCGTTCGGTACCCCAAGTCTACGAATGCTTACATTTTATGGGAAGGTTTTACGGATGGTTTCCGTATTCTGTTAATTGTGTCGCAGTAGGCATCATTTGTGCCTATATTGTTATTGGTTTGGGTTAAGTAGAATATCTTGTCAGAGAAACTTCAAAAGAAGGTTAAGCTGGGTCACTTTGACAATTTGCAGTTGTCTTTTAATTTCTTGCCAGGTCATTTCGGATTATTTTTATTTACTGGGCTGTCAGTTTTAAAGGAATTTCTTTTATTATTATTATCATTATTATTATTATTATTTTATTATATATATAGCGCCATCAGATTCCGTAGTGCTGTACAATCGGTGGACTAACAGACATGTCATTTTATGACATGTACCTTCTGATGGGCTGTTTGATTTCATATTTTTACTATTAATATTATTATATTTATATTTTAGGTGTGGTTTAGCGGGTAGTGTTTTTTAGGTTCGGTTTAGGTGTGGTTTTGCGGGTAGCGGTTTGTTCATCTCTTCTGCAATATTTTGAAGATTTTTGTTTGTTGGTTGGTCAGGTTTTCAATTTTTTACAGACTTGTTGTTCCACTTTCATAGGGTTATGGCAGAGGAGAAAACAGATGGATCTAGTATGATTATTTCTTTCTGTGGGTTAAAATTCAGTTGGTTAATCAGGTGTTTTAACTTGCCGGAGGACAAGCTTCAGGTTGTCATTTCTGGTGGATTAGGTTCGAGGGGCACCCAATTGGGCCATTTGAATTCTGCAATCCCTACTGGGCCATTTTAATTTTGTCTCTAAGTCATGCCCATGGGGCATGCTTTCAGTCACTGACTTTCCTTGGCTATGGTTGGTATTCATCTACCTTTTAA